CGCCGCAGCTCCTCCGGCTCTGGGCATGGTCGAGGGGGGTTACCTGGTGGCCAGGACGGGGCATAGGTTAGGCTGTCCTCAGGAGGGGGCGCCCTGGTACAAGGTCTGAGTTTTGCTCCCATTTCCCCCGCCCCCGCCCACATGCCTCCCCCATCACACATACATTCTGGCCTTTCAGAAGTGGGGGGTGGGGGGAGGGCAGTACAGGCCAAGGAACCAGCAGGGGCAAAGCCTGGGAAGCAGCTAGGTGTCTTGGAGCCCAGAGATGGGGGATGTGCGGAGAGGAAAAGGGGTCTACCAGGAGGCAAGCTGATGCCAGATCACAGTAGGCCTCAATGGTCAGCCAGGAGCATCTACTGGGCCCCAGGGACAGGAATAGGACCCGTCCTGTGCCCACATCCTTCCTGGATGGGCAGAACCTGGTCCTTCTGCCTGTCCCCACTCCAGCAGTAGCTTATCTGGGGCATGCAGGTCAACTCCAATGCACACAACAGCCCCAAGAGACATAATCACTGTCCCTATTCCAGAAATGAGGGAGCAAGTTTTGAGAGGTCAGCTGTTTGTGCCAGGCCCCAGTTGTACGATTTATGGGTGTTATGTTGTCTGATCTCATGCCCCAGGAGTCCCAGGCTCAGAGAGGTTAAGGGTTTGCCTAAGGCTGCACAGCCAGTATGGGGTGGAGCGAGCCTCACTCCAGGCAGGGGCAACAGAGCCTTTGTTCTCCACCACTTTCCAACCAGACTGCTCTGGATTTCAGGACATCTGTGTCCTACCTGTGGGACTAGGTGACCTGTCATTGAGGTAGGGGGGCATCTACGATCGCCTCCCACAAACCCCAAATTCATCAGGTCCTCCTTGGCTCTAGAACCTGCCATGGCTCTCCACTGCCACTAGACGAAAGTTGAAGCTCCTTGGCTGGGCTTTGAAAGCCCTTCACAGCCTTGTCCCTTCGACCTTCCCCTTTCTCTTTGGGCCAAGCACAGAGTGGGCCTGCCTGGAGAGGAGCACACGGCTGCGTGTCAAGAGAAAGAAACGCAAGGCTGGGGAAAAATTAGCTTCTATGAACCAGGACTTGGTTTGGGGGTGGGGTTGTCCCTGTTCTCAGCCACAACCTTTACCCAGTCTGCCTTTTAAGACAGGTCTCTGCATAAAAACTCCCCATCATTTCCAGGCCCTTCCCGAACTGGCTCCTGCTTATTTTTACAGCTTCCCTCACTCATTCAACAAACTCCTGCTGACAGATATGCCGGGCTGCACTGGGCTTCACAGACCCAGGAGGTGCAGGCCTAGCCCCTCTTG